CTATATAATCCGTTATATAGCCCCCCCACTTCAAGGAGTTTAGACTATAGCTCATTTGTCCATTTTCTATCGCGGGAAGCTTTGAACCTCAAAATTCTCAAGCTCAGGGACAAGATGATGAACATGACTACACCAGCACTCCAAGAGTCGCACCTGAGCAGAGGGTTTAGGGTTTAAGGGGTTTTAGGGTTTGAGTTCGTAAAGTTTCAAGTTTAGAGCATGGCGTGGTGAAGGGGATACCCAAAACCCAAAAGACATTCAGTTTTAGCACACAGGAATACAATTCCTCATATCACTTGCTAAAACTGAGGGTCGTTTGGGTTGAAGGCAGGCTTCAGACTTAACGGTTCATATTGGCCATCTGGTGTTCATTTATCAACCTGAAGTTAAGCCAATTCCAGATTATTTTCTATATAAACCACCATTTCAGAGGAGGTCGGATGAGGTCGTCATAGTTTGGAGCCAGTAATCGGGGCTAATGATGCTACTGGGTCACCCAGCAGAGATCTACCTTGCCAAGCCCTCAACCTCATCAACGCAACAAGTTGCGGCCTATCACCAGCACACAGTCTTAGTCCTTACTCTACTACACGAAGAAAAGAAAATCGCCTGCTCGTGGAAAAACGAAGAAATACAAAGAGCCCGAAAATACGAAGGATCACTCCTTAGAAAACTGCTACTAAACACAATTTCTTTTGTCACCACTGCCACTAATACTGTTGCTGCTGCTGCTGCTACGACGACGGCGACGGCGACGGCGACTGCTGCTGCTGCTACTGCTACTGCTACTGCTGCTGCTGCTACTATTACTACTACTACTGCTGCTACTACTACTACTACTCCTACTACTACTGCTACTGCTGCCACCACTACTACTACTACTACTACTACTAGTACTGCTACTGCTACTACTACTACTACTACTGCTACTCCTACTCCTACTCCTACTCCTACTCCTACTCCTACGTCCTACGGCGGCTGCTGCCGCTGCCGCTGCCGCTGCCGCTGCCACTGCCACTGCCGCTGCGCTGCTGCTGCTGCTGCTGCTGCTGCTGCTGCTGCTGATGCTACCGCTATACTGCTACTACGATGACAGGGACGGCGACGACTGTACTATAATTTCCAATTATTGCTGCTGACCCGGCAGGTCCGGGAGTCCAAAACTAAGGCCAGGGCCGCTGGTCATACTGTACAGGAGCCTTGGTTGTTCTTCCTTGCGGACTAAAGAAACCCCTAGCAAACATTATATCATTATATACGCTGCAATTATGTAAATCTATTACCCTTGATGGTGGCGTGGGTTTGCCCCCCCCCGCAATCAAAAGCTAGTTTCGGCTTCTAATATAAGCGTTTTCATTAACACGGGCTTAACAACAGACTCCAACGTGATGCAATCCAACTATTGAGACTCCCTGAGAGAGGCTTCCATTTTTTGGAACCCCCATATGCGAAACGGGAGCCTAGCCAGTGCAAAGCCCTACAATCCCCCTTAAGTAGATAGAATGTGGGGTATACGGGGATCTTATTACAATATACCCAAGGCCGTATTCTATCTACTCAAGGGGGAATATAATCCCCAAACCCTAAGCCCTAAACCAAGGAGCAGTTACCAACTCAGGAGCGACGCTGTACGGGGTTCCAGCCGCGCGAGTGATTTTTGCCTTGGGCAGGGGCTGGGACTGTATGGTAGTCTCCATAAACGGGCGGACCCCATATGAGCTATAGTCTAAACTCCTAGTATCCTCCTTAATAAGCCCTATACGAGTCCCCTATATAATCCCCTATATAACCTTCTTAAACGAGTTTAAACTATAGTTCATATAGACCCCAAAATCTATGATCTTGATTCTAGGGACACCCCAAACCCCTCAGTTTTGGGAAACCCTACGTTAGTGTATATCCCCAAGTTCCATTTCATTTTTGATTTTTTGTTTTCCATTTCATTCGCCACTGTTGAGCTATATATGTGTATATCCCTACATGATCCCTATACACTCCCTAAACTAGAAAACCTATCACGCCTTTTGGGAAGTGTACCTGTACCTTTTCATGAGGGCCTAAACCCTAAACCCTAAACCCTGTTACTCTAGGTACTGCTTGTTACCCAAGCACTTGCACTTTGGCTAGGGCTCGGTGGGTTGGCCCTCTGCAACAACCATGAGCCATAGTCTAAACTCCTTAAAGGGGGTTACATAGGGGATTATATAGGGGACTACTATAGGGGTGGGTTATTAGGGGGATACTAGGGAGTTTAGACTATTACTCACCTCCTAAACCTCCTTCATCAGCCTCAGCCTCCCGATAGCTAGTAAAAATCTTGAACCCTGCAAGCTCACAATGACACATCCCAATATATTCCCTTATCCCCTTATGAACGAACAAATGTATGTGTATATATATATATATCATATCCCTGGTACATTCACACTATTTCGGACTCCCTCTTCAACACGGAGCCGGAAGCCCAAGATCCTTTTCGGTTGCTCGCGCCCACCCAGGCGATGATAAACTCCCTACATGCAGCGATCCCTAAACCCCTCAATCCTAAACCCTAAACTCCTGAACCCTAAGCCCTTAGCCCTATAGGGTTCAGGCATGGGGGCAAAGCCTGGCCATGAAGTACCCTGCCTCAGGACCCATACTAATTAGGCTTTAGGGGTTGGGGTTATATAGGGTATATATTGGGGATATATGGGGATAATGGAAAAGAAAATGTTAGGGTTCAGGGTTTAGGGTATCTTTCTCTTTCTCAAGACCCTCTATATTCTAAGTATTCCAGCCATCGACTGCGCACGCCATAATCCAATCCCTCGCAGCCTTAGCAATAAGGGGGTAAGCTATCTAGCTGACTGCATAACAAACCCTTAACCTGTCTGTAATCCCCAAACCCTAGACCCTAAGCCTTAAAGCCGCTAAAGCCCTAAACCCTTTTAGCCTCTAAAGCCCCTAAACCCCTAAACCCTTAAGCCCCTAAACCCTAAACCCTAAAGCCCATAAACCCTAAACCCCAAAGCCCCTAAACCCTTAAGCCACTTAAGCCCCTAAAGCCCCTTTGCAAACGAACTGCTCCAGGTCGAAAGGGGCAACACAAGCCGAAATCGATCAGTTTGATGTTGCCAACTTCCCCTTCTTGGACCTGGGTATTTAGGGTTTAAGGTATTTAGGGTATTTAGGGTTTAAGGTATTCAGGGTATTTAGGGTTTAAGGTATTTAGTGTATTTAGGGTTTAGGGTATTTAGGGTTTAGGGTTTCTTCCTATAACTTCATTGTCCATATGACTTTGCATTTTGAAATCCTAGGGTTAGGATGCGGGAGTATTGGGGATTATCAGCCATCTGCCCCCTTTGCACCTTGTGGATTGTTTTTCAAAAGCAAAACCTTCTACTAACTGCTGGTTAGTAGGGAGTAAGGGAACAAAGTACCTCTAAAATCACTGTAATTCACTGTAGAAACATTCCCTGATTTCCTACTATCCTAACTAAGGTATACAGGATTTTGTAGGGACTACTACAGGGATCCATTCCTGTAGTCCCTAGGGTGTAAGACTTCAACAGCAAAACCTTCTGGCTCAGCCGAGGAACAGGCTTTGCGAACATGATGTTTTCTGTTTTCAGGTCTCGAAAAATGAAATTTGCCTGGGTTGCTGTGAAGGAACTTAAATTAAGTTACCATAATGGGTACATATGAGCGTTCGCCGAAAGTCCTTGTATAATCCGATGCCATGGACAATTTGGGAGGGTCCTATCGCTTTTGGGGGTTTTGGCGTAGCATACAAGGAAAGGTATCGCTTTTGGGGGATTCTGCCAAAACACACTCATGGTCACGTCTTAGATTGAGGGGTATCGCTTTTGGGGGGGTCCTACCGCTTTTGGGGCTTTTTGCGCGATTCCTACATCTCACGGCATTCCTTCTCTTCGTGCCTAATACGCGAGTATTGACCATTGCTCATATAGTAACTAGTATGGCTTCCAAGATATAGTACCCTAAAACCTGAGCCCTAAACCCTGAACCCTGTACTATACCCCAATATGGTAACTTAACTTAAATTGCTTAACAGCAGCCCAGTTGCTTGGTGCAAGTAAGACAAAGCAGACAGTGTCTGACGCATGATCTTTGCCTCAGGTTATACTGGGATCATATAAGGATTCTATAAGGATTACAGGGATTATATCGGGACTACAGGGATTATGGGGAGTTATATTGGGGTTATGTAGGGGTAGTGGAAAATTACTATGATGGCTTAGGAGCTTCAGGCAGCTGGTGTATTTTTAGTGGTAGTTGAATGGAGTAGGATAACATTTCTTCTTCTAAATGGAAGATTTTTTTCTGCTCTGTGCTCCTCCCCAATAAATGCTATTCGGGTGTGGTGTTCATACTCCCGTGGTCTATGAAAACGAGGCAAGTTGCGGCGTCCGCTTCAGGGAAACGCTGTTGGACACACAGGCTTTCCAGTAATGTTCCTCCAGCGCATATATCCATGACCAAATAGATGTGGCGACGATCTTCGTAACACTCCTGAGAAGCCGGACCCATCGTTGGTCTTCTTTACGTTGTTTCAGCACACATACATTGTCGCCGTAATCTGTCAAAGTAGAACTCTTGTGTTGCACAAAAGCCAAGGCTCATATGCTTTGCAAATATGTGCATGGTCCAGCTGGCGAAGGACATTGAACCTAGGTTGTGGGTTCGGGAGTCAGATTGTGGAGCATCTTAGGATGTGTCAGGTATACTCACAGCCTACGTATGCTATACGCCAAACAGGCAAGCTGTCATCCCACATCATCGCCCAAGGGCTCGTCTTTGACGGTTTTAGGATCGGAGATTTTCTTCTTGGGAATCGTCTTTACGGCAACGTACGTTGCCATAGACACGCATTTCCTTCCTGACGTGTGCACACCGCGGGCGATAGCTAAAAAAAAGGCCCCAGCTTCCAACACATCAACCCGCGCAAAAAACAAGAAAACAACAAAAACATGCTCCTATCTTTGAGACTTGAGCTGGTGCATTCTCACAGACATGGCTATCTTGGGGAATGTCCCAGACTGACCCAGGCGTGCCCTATTGCCTGTGCCCAGCGGGTCCAGGTCTTAAATCCCCAAAAAACCTGGAGCATAAAACAGAAACAAGCGAAAGCTTGCGTGGGAGCTTCCGAAAATGGACAGTTGTAGTAGGAAGAATTCTACATACAGAATTCCACTGATTGAATTTAGCGTGCGGGTCCATCTTTGGAAGCTCATTTTTTGGACCGAAGGTTCGTATGTCCCTTGCTCTGCTAACGACGCCGAAGCTGCCACTGCCCAGCTCTTCCAACATCTCATAATTGTCCTCGCGAGGCATAGTCATCCCTTAGCCCTGAACCCTGTTGATTCTACAGGGAGTGCTTGGTGGGTGTAACTATATGTGTAGAGAATTCTTTTGCATGGCCCAACATAAGAAGCAAAGTCAACTTGGGTGCGGGTGGTTTAGAAACCCGGACAGCATCCGTCCTCCAATTTGCCTTTTTTCACCTGACAGGGCATGGCAACAAATCTGCCACTCGAGCATCCGCCCTGTTCATTCCGCTGTCTACAAATCCCAAGCAAAAATGCCTTTGGATGCGAAGGACGAATTTCGCCAGTCACTGGCCTGCGCGAGCAAGGCGCGGTCGAAGGCTTGCAGATCTTCTGTCTGGTCGCCAGTGGCTTGCGGCTGTTCGACACGCGCGCAGGCGGAAGCCAGGGCAGCTCCCATGGCTCGCTCATTGCTCCCACGCCTGCGGCATCTGCATCCCTTGGGGACTGTTCGCGCTGCAAGCCGCAACGGCACATCAAACGTGCCAAGATGCCAAGATCAACTTCACTCCAAGTCTTGCGTGCCGGAAAACTGTCATTTTCAAGAAGTACCACACCATGCTTTTTTCACAAAAGTGGAGATTTGCTTGTAAAGCTTGCAGCAAGCGTATGGTAGGTCACCTTTTGCACCAGCAAGCAATGTCCTCCCAACATACAATCACAAAAGACTAGTGTATATCACGTGACTCGACTTTTCCAGCATGTGATAATTTAGGGGAGTCAGTGCCAGCCACTCTAAACCCCAAAACGTACATAATGGAATTATCTTGAATGTGTTTCACCTGATTTGGGTCAAACCCTTGCAGCATCTTTCTCCAGCACGCCCTCAGGTTGAATCAGCATGTGGGACGTCTCGCAAGGCACATGTACTGAAAAACGCGGCCAACAATGTGCAAACCGCGCCAGTCAAACAAATCTCAAAGTAGTTCCACCTGACGGCCAGCGCCAAGGTTGCCAACGATGGACCCATGGCAAGGCCTGCAATGGCCAAAAACTAGGTAGACGATGAAAACAGAGACTTGAAATATAAATGTCCTGGAAAAGAACAGAAATCCTACTGTGATGTCTTGTTGTATGCCTGGGATAAACTGCCAGGAAACAAACGAGCAACATCCTATACCACAAGAAGCAACATAGCGAAATCTTACCAGCAGCCGCCTGCGTTGATGGCCATTTCGGAAGCTGTCAGTGCTTGGCCGTAGCCAAGACCTTGCGAAGCAGCCAAGTCTGCCATCATCGACATGGCTGGGGCATCCGCTGCCCCCAGAGCAGCTGAACTGACGATCAAGGTGGACAGAATCGGAACGAGCAACGTGCTGGTCGTGCTGACTGATGAATCCACAGTGGCCAGATATGCCATGCTACTGGCCATGAAGCTAATGAACAGCAGCGAAAACCCAAGCAAAGCGGGTGTATAGAGAAGAATCCGCTCACGATTTTTTGCGGAACCAGCAACTCGGCCAGCCCATTGTGACAGCAAGCACTGCATCAATCCCGAGGGCATGGTGATCACGCCGATCCACGTAGAAGAAAATCCATGTCGTTGCAGTTCAATGGCTGCAGCTGTGACGAAAGCATTGTTGGCTGCGAAAATGCAAATGAGCTCAAACGTCAAAACCAACACCTTTGCGTTTCCAAACAAGAAAAGACCGCCGCAGGCCTTTGCTAAAAGGTTCCCTTTTTCAAGGAGGGGGTCAGTTTTCGACACCACCTCTTGAAGCATCTTGAGGATGACGAAGAAAAGCAGCAGCGGAGGCAGGACCGCCCAAAGTTGAGGCTCCGGTAGGCCTGCTTACTGGGATAGCAGGGAATACAAGAATGTAGAGAAAAGGGGTTATGTAGGGATTGTATTCCATTATTCCTCTTTGAAGCCTTAGTAAGTCTTCTACATTTCATCAAGTTAAGAAATCACAATTTATAATATCCACAAGGAAAACTCTGCTTTGCTGAGTTGTCCAGCTAACAGAACTATACACAAGCCTCTTGTTTCCCTGCACTGAAATGAACCCTTCAAGTTGACACATATCTTCATCACAAAAGCGCCTTCTGTACCCGCAGCATCAAAGAGAGCACCCATGCATGGTGGGCCTGCAAGGTTGCCGAGGGAGCCTTACAGCACCGCTAAACTGGGGAATATCATTGGCTTGGTGATCCTGGTAAACCCATTGGGATATGTAAGGTCCTCCTTCCTGGAGACTCACTTGAATTTTGGAATTTTGGCATTTTTGACATAAGAATATGCGCAAGATTGTGGTTATGCTCTTTGACATGATCTCCAAAGCGCCAAGCTTGGGGCCAGTCCAAAACATTCCAAAACATACACAAGGCTATCACAAATCAAGCAATGCGTTGTGAAAGCCGTACGTTGAAATTAGCGCCTTTATAAGGGATTACAATAGTACCACACCCTAAGGTACCCCCCCCAGATTTAGAACCCTATTAGGCCTTAGGCCCTATTTAGCCCTATATAGTCCTTATTAGCTCCTTAAACCCTGGGGGTTGTGCCTTTTGGGGGGGGGGGGGGTGCTATTGTAATTCCTTAACTTTAGTTGCACGCCCAGTTTCCCAAACCGACGGCCAATCCCAAGTGCTCTGATCTCTTGGGCTCCATGAAATGCTCCATGATCAAAGCCATGGCTGAGTTGAAGATGACCTGGTTTGCCGGCTGGCACCATTTTTATATAGGGGCTTCATAGGGATAATGGAGAAGAAAATGGAAACTAGTACTTTGGGTTTAGGGTTTAGAGAGGCGAGTCGGCTGCCACCATTCAAGAAAAATGCGTGATTGTTGCTGTTGTTGTGGTGTCGCCCTTCCTTTCAAGACACCTATCAAAATGTTTTAATATTGCGACCCTCCCTAACGTTAAACGATAAGTTCAGAGGCCTAAACATCCTGGAAAACATTTAAAAAGGGTTTGTATGAAAGAAACCAAATAGAAATATAGAAATGAATGCGACCTGAATTGATCTTTATACATTTTTAATGCTTTTGTACTCAAACTTCCATTGTATTTAATCAAACCTCACTTGAGTAGTACGAATTCAAAACGAATTCAAATGGATTTACATTCATCTTAATTCATTACCAAAAAATTGGATTGGATTTTTATTCGACATTTAGGATTTGTTGAAATTTAGCTCAATATCAATTGATTGGAATTGAGTTCAACTGGTCTCAATTGGGTGGTAGCTCGATTTCAACTAATTGTAACTGAGCTGCAATTTGATTGTAACTGATTTTAGATGTTGTTTAACGTTTAAGTTGTGTTTAATTGGATTTAAATTCGATTTCAATTGGATTTGATTGGATTTTGGTTCGACTTCAGTTGATGATACGGAAGCCCTATCTAATTCGTTCAAACAAGGGGAGGGGGACGTCGTGAAATATGAGGGGGAAACGACTGTGAATCTCATCACCCATCCTCATCATGTTTGCAAAGCGCGTCTCATCAAACGAGCTGCTGACGTGGCAGCACCCAAAAGAATGCGCGCCAGCAACTGCGTTGGGAAACCACTGGAAATGCCCATAAGGGCCAAACTCGTCAGAGACATGCATACACCCAGCTGCAAAACGCCCTTCGCCCCATATTTGTCAATGCCGAAGCCAGCTGGTATCCTTGGAAGCCCATGACAGGGACATCATCATGCGGCGGAACGTCCAAGTTGGCACTGTTCTGTTTAAACGGGCAGGCACTGAATTGTTTACCCGGTACAATCTTAAATCTTTTTATCGCACCAGCCTGCATCCGAGAATCAAGGCGGCCACGCTTGACCAAGCTTGGGTGCTAAGAATTATGCCGACCTGTCCTTTCGATACCAAGAACGGCACGATTGCCACATACCCTGTCAGTACGTACAAGATCGCAAAGATCACCAGCCTCGAAACCCAAACCACTGCCGCCGAACTTTGGGAGGCCATCGCGGGGCTGACAAAAAACGCCCGGATCTAAAGATGTACCCAACCAACCTTTCAGCGTAACTGAAACAACGCTTACGAACCTTTCGATGTGCAGGCAACATGGCTTTCATGGTGGGGTGGTGTAACCTTGCAAGCTTGATGTGACTGGCAGTGGAATTGTGAAAAACAGATGCACTCTTCATGTTGCGCGTGCCGCAGTTTTGGTGATGCCAAAAAGTGTCTCTGGAATGATCGGTTTTTCATACCCCTTTGAGCCGCCTAGTCTATTGCAGGTGCTCTCCCTTGCGTCTTTCCACACATTCCAATCAAGTGGACATGCAACCTGCGGCACGCAGACTTGTGCACAACCTGTTTCACAAGAACCCACAATCGGTCAGTCAAAACATGTCACAGCCTCCAGTCGGGACGCGTGGACTTGTAAAGCTGGACGACGCGAATGCCAAGCTGACTGGTCACAAAAACAAAGTTACGCCTGCCAATCGCTACAAGCTAAGTTGTATCCCGACGCCGGTGTAGACCCCATGCGATAGTTTCCCAAGCCCACCACGGCAAACCAGAAAACGTGCAATGCGCCAAAAGTCGTGTACAATGACATCTTTTCGTGGTGTGTAACGTTATGAGCATCTTGACAAACATGGAAAGTTGCCAACAGTGTATGCTCAAACATGGTTCTCGCCCAGGCTCGAAACACACACTGCATCTGCCGTCAAGCACAAGGATCTTCCCCGCAAGCGCTACTGGCTTTCTTAAAACTTTCATGCGAATTCTGCTGAAAATGGCCGGCGTACCTACCCGCCCTCCCTCTTGGCCAACAAGGATTGAGCACCATGCCATTTCTCGCCCCCTTTGCAATGTTCTGCATTGTTATGCCCCGTTTCAGCACGACACCACGATCTCTCGATCTCTAGGGACTTTTGTGCTTTCCGAATGCATTCGGCAGATTTGTTTGCGTGGCCAACACAATGATTTTTGTTTCATGACTTTTGTTGTGCGTGGTGGTTTTGGTACCTCTTCTGCCTCCGATGACGACATGTTGCTCACGCGAATGCGCTTCGACCGCGCAGCGCCTGCTGGCACCGATTCGTAAAGCAGGATGGCAGCAGCAACAGCAACAACAGCAGCGGTGGAATTTTTAGACCAATTATTATCTGTTGGTTGTATTTTGGTGTTAGACACAACCACAAACATAGCAATAAGAACCGGAGGGGCATCAGCAGCAGCAGCAGCAGCAGCAGCAGCAGTAGCAGCTGCTGCTGCTGCTGCTGCTGCTGCTGCTCAGCAACGGTGGCCACGGTCGTGTGCTTGGAGTTGTTATTAATTGCGTTGGTTTTGTTTTGTCATGGCAGGAAAACAACCACAACAAACATACGAAAAACAGAACGAGCAGCAACAACTTCAGCGGCCGTTGTTTTCAGCGGCGGCGGTGGCGGTGGTATGTTGCAGAGTAATTATTGGATATTACTGGTTGCTTTGTCTTTCCATGTCTTTCCTATCGTGGCCAGAACCCATCACAAAAGCAGTGGCAGCAACAACAGCTGCTGTTGTTTTCAGGAGCAACTGCGTGGGACCGCTGGTGGCTCGGCTTGGCTGGCCGGCTAGTTGCGCTCACTGGTGGGGGCCAGCAAGCGGTTGCTGGGCACGCGGTGGATGCCGCGCGCGTTCGCCAGAAGGTCTCCCAAAGGCGGTTCGGCGCCGCTGCATGCATCCACCGCTGGATGGAGGCCTGGCAGGTGGCTGTACGCAGGCGGGCGGGCACTTCCCGCGTGTCGCCACGGCGAGCTTGCGCAGAAACACTGCCGCCTCAGCCCCGAACCGCCCGCCCACCGCGATGCCCACCACGACTAACTAGCACCCGCGAGCAACCGCCAGTTCTGGGTACGTGTCCTGCCGTTTGCGATTGGCCGCGGCCGAGACGGCACCCCCAGCCGTGCGATCAGTGAACGAGGTGCTCCATCGCGCGTCAACGCGATTCCAAAGTGGTGTCAACGGCGGCTTGTGGCCCTTGTCGTCAGGCACAAGGATCTTCCAAAAAAACAGATAATGGCCTACTATGCCCATGCAAAATGCCGCAGGCCCCTTAGGGCTTTCTTAAAACTTACATGCGAATTCTGCTGAAAATGGCCGGCGTACCTACCCCCCTCCCGCTTGGCCACCACGGATGGGTGATCGAGCATCATGCCATTTCTCGCCGCTTTTGCAGTGTTGTGCGTTCTTGTGCCCCGTTTCAGCACTACACCACGATCTCACCAGGGTTCTTTGTGCTTTCCGAGTGCATGTTTTTATTGTCTTTTCCTCGGACTTTTCCTCGCAGCTGTCCGTCCCTGGCCGGCTGAAACAGCTACCGACAGGCTGCGGGCGCCCCCTCAGGCGCGCAGCGGCATGCGGCTTTCGGCCACAGGGTACACATGGCAGGCGTCCGCCAGCAGGTCTGCCAGTGGCGGCGCGACGTCGAACTCGTCTGCCCTGTCCAACGGCAGCTCAAGGATTGACAGGGGGAGTGCCCGCTGCGCGGCAACAGCCAACATGCCTGTCCGGCGGCGCCGCCCGCACTTTAGAGGTGGCCAGGCGGCGGAGAAAATCCGCCAAAGCGTCCGCCCACCTCAACCGCCAGCACCACCAGGCGACACTTATACCGGCGGCCAACAGCTCCGGGTACGCGTTCTGGCGTTTCCGACATGCCGCATCTGCCGCCGCTTCGCCCTGCACATGGTCCGCGCCGGCCCGCGCTGCGCCGTCCCGGCCAATTGGGCTGACAAAAGTCATGTCAGACAACCGCCTGCGCGCCTTGCAAGGCATCCAAGATCCCGCCACAGCGACAACGCTTGGGCGTATGGGGCAGCGGGAGGCGCAACCGCCTGGGCAACAAGACACGCATGCAGTCCGAGGGCATGCGGAACTCCGGGGCGGTGGGAAGCACGGTAAAGGCGCGGCAGCCGCCAGGGCCCGCCCTGGATAACAGCAGAGCGGCGCGCGAAGCCTGGCGGCATCCAAACAAGCCGTGGCTGCCCGCTGCCACCCGCGTAAAACTCACCAATGCTGCGAGCCGCCTGGCCCGAGGTGGGGCGGTTGTCCAGCAGTGCAGGCCAACACGGCGTGTCAAACCCCGCCTGTTTCAAACAAGATTCCGTGTGCAGTGCCGCGGAAACACTGGGCACAATGCAACCAGTCCGAGGACCGTGTCCGCCCAAGAAGCCCAATGCGCCGCGATCCCGTGGTCTCGGCGGAGCGCAGGCCCAGACCGCCTAGCTGCAGCGGCAACTGAGCCCGGCGAGTGGCATTAACATCCCACGTTGGCGGCCCGCCATTGGCCAAGAAACCCTGCAAGCATGTGAGGAGCGCCTTATCGTGCTGACGGGCGAACGTTGCAGTGTAGGCCGGCGGGAGAGCGCGGAGTACGTAGTGACAGCGGGGAGGCGCGCACATGAGGAGCAACAACCACGCAACTTGCAAATCTGAGACAAGGGGGAATTTGGAAAACAAAGTTCTGTGGGCTTCCAATTTGGATTGTAGGTGGGCCGCCACAAAATCCTGACTCCCAAGCGGCGTGCCCAGCACCACCATGCCCTGTTGTTCGGCCGGGATGGTCCAGTCGCCCACCCATGCACGCCGCCGCCGTTGCTGAACACAGCAGCAGCAGCAGCAGCAGCAGCAGCAGCAGCCGCCAAAGTACAAGCAGAAGCAGAAGCAGCAGCTGAAGCAGAAGCAAAAGCAGAAGCAGAAGCAGCAGCAGAAGCAGCAGCAGCAGCGGCAGCAGCAGCAGCAGCGGCAGCAGCCGCCGCTGCCGCCGCCGCAGCAGCCGCAGCACGCTGCTGCTGAAGCCTGTCCGAGTTAACATGTTTGTGGTTGTGTCCAACACAGAAATACAACCAACACATAGTCTTTGGTGTAAAAATTCCACCGCCGCCGTTGCTGAAAACAGCCGCTGCTGTTGTTGCTGTTGCTGCGGCCCTCCTGCTCTACGAATCGGTGCAAAGCAGGCGCCGCGCGGTCGAAGCGCATTCGCGTGAGCAACATGTTGTCATCGACGGCAGAAGAGCTACCAGAACCACCACGCGAAACAATGTTGGACACAAACAAAGCATGCATTTGTCAGCGTGGATGAAGTCGGAGCTTATGACCACATTTCGCGCAAATGCATGTTTGATGGCCTCCCTGCATCCCCAACGTAGGCACCCCTTATCCCTCTGGTCCGCCTTTTCTACGGCGGCGACAGCGACGCGTCGGGCCTTGCTCACTCCGTTCCCCAGTCGGAGGCCAACGAAAAGTTGTTGGTCAGGCTGTCAAGGCTTTGCTTCAGTACGATCCCAGCGGCGTGCTCGGGCGATTTTTTGCATTTTTTGTTTCCTCCGGCGGTCTGCGGTTTCCGTGCCAGGTGGCGCAATCGTTGACTCAGCGGGGCCGCGCATCGATGGCGATTCCTTGCCTGTATTGCTTTGACCTCGGGATAATCCAACAACAGAGTGCGGCTAGAGGACCAGCACTGCACTGCCTTTTTTTTTTTTTGTTGCGATTGTTCTGGGTTTGTGTACTATGCAACGAATGCGAGAGTGTTTCCCATGCAAGGTGGGCGCCAAAATTCGAGAATCATATGCCGCCAGCATCCGCCAGCCAGCCCATAGCAAAATACACACCATTTGCCATGTCCGAGTGGCACGCCTGCGTGTTTTCGAGTCGGCGGTTTTGCAACGTTGGCTGCATTTCCTCCTCGTGGGCACCAGATGTTCTGGGCCAACGGCAGGGTTGCATGACAGCAGCAACAACGATCACTGTTGGTTGCATTGATTGGTTTTCCGATCGTAGCCAGAACCAATCACAAAAATAATGGGAGCCACAACAGCCGCTGTTGTTTTCAGCAGCGGTGACGGAAGCGCTGGTATATTTCCAATTATTGCTAGTTGCTTCGCTTTGTTATTGCAAGTGGTAACGGTAACACCCACGAAATGGCAGGAAAAACCGGAGCGACAGCAGCAACAACAATTGATTTTCACTTCTTGTTTTTC